GCGTATCCGGGTGACCAGTTTCCATACAAATTATCGTGGAAATAGTGGTCATTATCGGTAACAGATGTCCCAATTAAATCTTCAAAGCTGGAACGTCGATACGTCCTCGGCAATGACGCTCATTTTAAATTCTCGTCTGTCGATCGGTTCACGAATGATCGAACGAGCGCGTAATAGGTTCTTAATCGGACTTGAAATTCAGGTTCACGGTTGTTCGATCGAGAGGCGAGGAATCGAGGCGTGTCGTTTAATCGGTCGCTTAAGTAATTGTTTCCGCCTCGTTGGCCGTCGTGTTGAGACGCAAAGGAGCATTAACATAGGTACCTACCGATTTCGCATTTCTGGCAGCAGTTTTTTACATAAATAATGTTTAATACCTAACATCCTTCCGTTATTAAATGAAATTTTCTGTAGTCATTTTCTTCAAAATGATTTAGCATAACTGCCATTGGTTAGTTCTTGTAAGTTTTGGTCACGATTGGAGTTAATTATGGTATATTGATTACTCTGCGGAATGGAATCGAGCAACAGTCTCAAGGTAGGTCTTCATCTACCAAACCTGCGTCACTTTACCTTCTTTTATCGCGTCTTAGTCGTTTAAAGCAAGTTCCTCGCGAAAGAAACACGGCTATACGAGACTGTTGTTAGTTAAAACTCATAAGTCTTCGCCGTGACTTCGCGACGCCGCGTGAAAAGGCTTCCCGGTCAAACGGCGCCCACGATAAATCTTAATTCGCGCGATGAAAGCGGCGCTTAACGTTTCACAGGTTGAGATATGGGCTTCCTTCGTTGTCTCCATTTCGCGCGAAAAAGGAAAACGAACTGTGCTAAAGAACCATCGTCTGGTTTTCATATTTATTTCTAATCCATTTAGCTTCTTCAGGATTAGATGATTGAGTGGTTATTGTAGGTGGGCATTAGGGGATGCGGGTACCCGAATAGATATACCACATTATCTCAGCTTTATAAATTCCAATATGGAAATCAATCAAAGTATATTAATTTCATACAGTTCCCGGAAGTTTCAATTTTCGATGCGCCATTTTGAATGGACATTACCGGCGGTCATTACACGCCAGAACGACAACGTTCCGCGGAACGGACCAGGAACATGTGTTTTGGTATTCTTGCAGCGTGAAATGATAATTCATTACCTAACCTAACCGTGCTTTTCATTGGATGGTCAAACACGGAACAGTTTTATTTTCTTCTTTCAGGTCTATCGATCACAGCGATGAATGTATTATCGTGTTTCGATACGTAGCGCGCAATCTCCTGGTGAAAAATGAAGTTCCTCCAATCGACTCGCGTTGTTTCCCCGTAATAATGTTACCAATTTATCGGTAATTAAAGGCTGCCACGCGAAGCACGCCGGTATGCCAGTTTAATTAAACTTTTTCTTTATTGTTGCTGCCGATCGTTAAAACCGTTGTAACGGGACCAAGATATCGCGAATATCTGCGCTCTATTTTTCACCCTCATCGGGCTGTAAAAATTCATGCTTTTATAAAAGAATTAAAATTCTCATTCGAAATTCCTCTTTTTGCAACTAAACTGAAATATTTCCGAGCTCGATTATTCAGATCACTGATTATTTATTATAATTGATGATTGGTTAGAAATATTAATTTTCTCTATATTGCCGCTTTTATCATTTTTGGCTTTTCATACTTCTCCACAAAGGTTCAATTTCAATCAATACTTTCTGAACCAATTATAATGCGAGGATTATTCAATCACATCTAGGTACCTCATATATCAGTCCCAGTTTAGACGCTTCAAAGACAATCATCCATGCTGCGTGGCGCCACTATCGCAGGAGGAACATACAGAAACCTGTTCGCAAATACGATTCCCCTCGCTCAAGTTTACACGTAAAAGGTGGCCCGTCCTTTGTGTATACAGTGAGCAAGGATCCTGTGGGTATGTTCCCATGCAGGAGCGTCCCAGGGCCGTAGCCTTCGCCGTCCATAGGTGGCCCTTCTCCATGGTCCGCGTCTTTGTCTCAGAATTTCCATGTTATATAAATTATCTATTATTTAACAAAGGCCTTTACGTAATTCAAGTATTTATATACGTGGCTCGTGTTGGTATCGCCTCGATGTTTAACGTTGCGTAATCCTGGTATGTTACATGCTTTTATGTAACCCAAGTGCGATTTTAACAAATGACTCTTTAATAAATGATTCTTGATCGTAATAATCAGCCGATAACAGGTTGTTCTCTAGACGTTTCGATCGCTGCTTGATCCTCGGGGAATTCCAAGAAGTACCAGGGACAGTGGCTTCGTTTTTTATCTGAAGCCATCGTCGGATGAAGTTTCCTTATTTCGCCATCTCGGCGCTTCTTTTTCCTCGACTCGTCCGACGACTTAACCTCCACTACTCAACGCTTCACACGGATAATAGCCATTTTCTTTCCTAAGTCCAAGTTTATGCAGCGTGTAAAATTGATTAGAACTTACTTAAATTTTTAACTACATATTTTAGTAGATCCTATTTCCGCTTAAGACCCATTCACATCGAGCTTCTTCCCGCGCAAAACCTAACCTAAACAGTCTATAACAGCATTTTTTTTATTAAATAACTATGTGAATATCTTCTGCTCCAAACTAGTCCAGTCATTCTCTGTAATTCAATTCACAAGATACACTTAATGTAGTTACAGTAACCCCTTTCACTGGTAAGTAAATAAGTCTACTTTGTGTTACACAGCGGGCAGGAAATGGAAAGGAAAAGTTAAGAAAGACGGTGCCGGTCTGTTAATTAACAGTTACATTTTACGGGTTTAGCAACGAATCGCCTGGCATTATATGTGCAGTTGGCTTAGTTAAGCTCTTTCATAAATTTACCGCCGAAATTCGCGAGTAATTAGCAAGCAGTAACCCAGTTCCAATCAAATGGCGGTACACTAATTATTAAAATCGTGCGAAGTTTATTCGTGCAATAACCGCATCTTATTAATAATTTAATTAAAACGGTTCCAATTTCCAGCCCCACTTGTAGCTACCTAATTTAATTTATTCGAATAACACGGTGCGATAATCACAACTATAGATACTTCTCCACTTCTACCATATAGACAGCTCGAACCGCTGTAGTCCAAGAATCTCGATAAAAAGGAAAGAAGAATAAACTCGCGGGGGTAAAGAAATATCGGGCATTCCGTAGCCGGAGGCGCATCTTCATCGAGTGTCTTCCAGCGAGCAAGCGGAAAGACCAGTCGTGTGAAAAGGGCTTTACGTGTGCGAATCGCCGCCAGCGGAGACGCACGAGGGCCTTCTTTTCCTTTAGACCTGTACTTCCTCTCTTATGCAGGCTACCCCAACACAAAGCGGCGTTTTCTACGCGCCACGGAGCCACGCTGTGCAAGGTCTCTCCCGTTCGTTTCCCTCCCGCCCTAACATCCCTCTTTACACCGCACACCCCTCGCCGATGTTTCACAGTCGTCGTTCCTCCTTCTCGTTCATCCATTCTTTCTCAGGCCCTCGTGGTGCCCTCTCGGTTCCTCACCTTGCCCGGTCGCGTATTCTTTTCGCCTATGCGACAGTGTGCACGTGCATACACCGGGTGTCCACTAAAGGGGGCAGACTTATTTGGACTTAAACGTATTGCAATCGTATGTAATGCTCATTATTATTCACCCACCATCGGTGACCGTCCTTGCCAGGGTTTGACTGGTCCTGGACGTTGCAGGTTTTGACGCCAGGTATGCGGTAGTGAATTGAGAAAAATAAGGCGAATTGAACTTGAAGTTTAAATCCGGTTCCATTGTATAGGGGTTGATTTTATTCGATGCTGGTACCCTTACGGTTGTATCTATCGAAGCGAGTTTCAATACTGTATCATGGCTTGTAACACGGGAAATTAATCGAAGGAAAGAATCTTAGTAAAAATTCGCAGCAGACAATCGGAGGTTTAACGAGAGGCTCGCACCGCCTCTTGGTAACCGACGACAGCTCCCACGAATCAGACAACAATAGCCGAACAACAGCAACACCTTGCGGACTGGCAAAGTTTCGCTTCTGCGAAACAGTATTACCGGCTTTCGAGTTTCGAATCGAGAAACACCACCCCGTATAGGAGTCGGTGTGCGCGGCGGGAACACTAGGGCCGGCTGTATCGTGTGTCGATACACTAATACACGTCACACAGATGGTCGCGAGAAACGGAGAAAGGGTGCCAGACAGAGAAAGAACGAGTAAGAAGAAGAAGAACGGGTGTAGTCGAGTCGAGTCGAGTCGGCTGTTGCCGGCTGCGAGTTTCTCCCTCCCTTGATTCTCTTGCCATCCCTCCCCAACTCAGTCGCCCTACCCAGCATGGTCGCTTCAATCACCCCACGTCCCTCCGGCGAGTCGACATGTTTCCCCGTCTGACCCCTCCGTACCCTTAGGCAGCATTCATATTGGCAGAGTAACTTATAGTCACTGGGTTGACAGAAATAATAAATAGGGAAAACTAAGTTTTAGATTAAACATTGAAAATCGGAACCTGGGTCAATCGTGACCAAAACTTAAAAGACATATATGTACAAGAATTTATTATTTACTTATTAATTTAAACTTAAGTATATAATTTTGAAACGACAGTTTTATATATTGAAAGAACTAGGAAATTAAATTAAAATTGGAGCTCTCCCCATGGTCCGCCATCTTGTGGCTAAAGAATGTAAAATACTTGAGATCGTTTGGATATGATTTACAAAATATTGGAGCAGAAAGTCCATAATAATACCAGTACTTTTGTTATAAATAATCTTAGCTTATAAAATAAAAATAATCTTAGTCGATACAATTGACAAGGGATCGAATTTCCGAAATTTGGCGTAAAAGTGAAAAATTTTATAAAAAATTCATAACTCACTACTCGTATGTGAACGCCCCCTATAGCAGCCCAGAGTCGAGTGGTCGGCACCGTTCTCCCTTCGTTTCCCTCGTCCATCGTCTCCTTTCCCCCTCTAGATTCGTCGTCTCGCTCTGTCTCCCCCCTCCCTCCTGCCCACGGCTCCTCTCGTGGCGTGCCACGACTCGTGGCGAAGTTTTAGCGTCGCCTACCTCTACTCGTGGCGTGCCTACAATTCTTAGCCGGATCTATTACGCGCAGTTTTCGTGTTCGAGCGACGTTTCGTCCTCGCCGATTCGTTTTCTCTGTCGTAACCTTCCTTTTCATCCTTTTCCCTCGTCATCTGCTTTCGTTTTTTTTTTTTTTTTTCGCTTCGTCGTACGTTTGATTCACGCGGCGCGGCCGGTGAGTTTTTAGTGTGTAATACGAGCCTCCGAGAGAGAGAGCGAGTGTGAAACGTTTCGACGGTGTAGCTATTTAATTTTTTTGTTGTCCTCTACGAGTCACGCTGGTGTGCCGGAAGAAAGAGCGTCGATCTCGCCGGAAGTACTACTCCCCCCCCTCTCCCCCCCCCACTCCGAGCCGCGGGTATCGTGATCTCCGAGTGGCCGATTCGCGACGCGCCATCTCCTAACCTCCAAAACGTTTTCGCGAGACAAACCGTTTCTCGTGACAAGCCAAACCGGGCAGCGACTGCGTCCTGCTCATCCGTGTGACGTTGTCTTCGATTCAATATTCACGAGGCATTCGCGCGTTCGTTCACTTCGCTCGGCGCGGGTTGTGCGTGGCGAGGAAATCATCGATCTCCGGCTTTAGCCGCCAGTGATACGATCGTTTATCCGCGATATCGAGAAGCCTGTGCCTCTTTTGTTGTGTTTCATTGTGTGCCAAGGATAATCACGCCGTGCGACCACTCTCAGGGAGTTTACGTTTCGGATACGATCTTCTCCGCTTGCCGATCAGGTCCTACCGTTTGCACGGTGAGTAAAGAGAAAAAAATCTGAATTCTTTAATTTCGTTTCGTAGCACGCGGTTACTTCGTGGAATTCCGAGTCGAGTAGTGTTTTATTGCCGACGATGCCGCTCCTGCGCTTGTGCCTGAAATCAGTGTGTATACACACGTATCTCGCCGGTCGCTCCGTCTGTTGAGTTTCAAGGGCGCATGTCCAACGACCATTCGCCGACGCTTCGTTCAAACGAAGCCGACTCTCTTTCTTTCTCTTTTCTATTGCGCCGTATTCGATTACACGCGGATTTATCCGTATACACTGCCATAAATATCAGTTTTCGTTACGATTGTGTCCTGTACCTTTTGTTCGTGTCTAGGTCACGATTACCGGCGTCCATGCCTGAAATCATAATATTTGTGCTGCTTCGGTGTTTACGTTTGCGCGGCTGAGATTCATGGTACACACGCGCGGTCCGTTACGCGCCAAAACCTTTTCGACGTCTCATACGTCCGTTAAACAAGATTTCCTACGAATATACATATTCTTTTTCTTGGTGCTTTCCTTTCATTGCTCAACTCATTCGCACGTTTCGTGTGAAATTCCTTATTTTTACAGTGCTACGCCGGCTAGGGATATTTGAATTTATCAGGTTTTTTTAGTGTGCTCCGTTCCTTTGTGCTAGGGTAATAACGTTTGAAATGTAAATTATAATTTAAAATTATTTTTCATATTTGTTAGTGATTTAAGTTACTTATTTTAATTAGTAACTTTTATTATTATAAAAATAACTAGTGTTTTATATAGCATATACTAATGCACATACGAATACAAATATAGCATTCAATACTCAGCCATAACATATATCAATCCCAGTAGATTTACGACCCTAAACGTACCATCACTTTTAGACTCTGCCAAGTGTCAAATAAATCCTGTTGACGTTAACAATTCCATGGAGCGAGCAAAAGTATTCGCCTTTACAAATATACCGGCTGTACTTCCTCCTAAAACTCTCTCGTAATCCACGCCCGTGACCAAACCAAACGAACAAACTTACTTTCTCGATTTCCCTTACGAAACAACCTCGTTATTTGATGATACTAGTGTCTATGTACACTCGCGATCAAATCAGGCTTTTCTAGGGAAAATGGCGCCTCGGGTTCTCGCCCTCCCCCATAGGCATCCTTGGGACGAATGACAATGTAGGGGAGGAGCCTCATTTGAAAGTTTGAATTGATATTTATTCATTATTCATATTTAATAATCAACAATTATATTTTTTAATTTTTAAATTGCTTTTAATATCAATATAGTAAAAATAAAAATTTTGAAATTTCGTCTACGTCTTCCATATTTTCAAGAAAGTATAGAAATCATCATAACGAACTTATCATTTCAAGCGAAATCGTTAATGGTTCTTAATGGCTAAGTGAAATTCTAATCTTCATCTATGAAACGTCCATTCAGAAATTTCTCTCGTCTGATTGTTCGTTAAATGGCACGATATCATCGATGTCAATTAGTCAGTGTTATCTCGGAAGGAGTACGAAGCACCCGTCTGTTTTTGACCCATTAAATCGTTATTAGCGACCCAGCGATATCTGTGATTACTATGTGTGGGCGTAAAAATGCTGCCCTCGTAGCGTACAGTTACACAAGGCTTTATCGTGGAAACGACGACTTCTGTGTCTGTTGGTTCCTCGAACTCCTCGCGTGTACGCGACCACGCTAACCAATGGGTCCAATACCCTCGTAAAAGCACCCACGTGGATGGAAAAGTATCGATCAGACCTTGCCTTCTGTTCGGATAGTTTTGCGGTAGGCGCGGACCTGAAAGAAGGACCGAAGGAGGATTAGTGAGCGGTAAAGCATACTATCTTTGCTGCACTAGAATGCTACTTATACAGTTACCGGGTCATTAAACTCTTCCATTGATGTCTAACAATCACTTGTTCATAAATTTCTTTAGGCAACATTAAATGGCGTCGAATAAAAGTGGGGGTATTTGATAAATTTTAAATATATGTAATTCCATTTTAAAAAATTAGGTATTGCAATGATTATCAACCAAAAGTTTTTGTTATTACACAAAGGAGAATAAGAATTATCCTTTCAGTCACATATAGCATTTTCGTTTTACCAGGGCCGTAATATTAAATCACCTTATCGATCACATTTGCTCCTCAAGCAAGCTCGATGAAAAAATGATGTCGAACTTGCTTTAGAGCACCTGCGAAGGAAATAAATTCCGGCTAAAATTAGGAGCTGCAGGAACACTGGTTCACTACCGACGAAATTTTGGATATTGTTATGAATAATCGAAACGATTTCCGGGCGAAGTCAAAGTAAACTCTTCTATAAATCACTCGTTCAAACTTGTTACATTTCACGCTTGGGGAAAAGTTAAGTTCAAAGTGTCGAAGAAATTTCAACTCATTTACATCTAGCTAAAAGATATTTTCAAATAAAACAAAATTAGAGAAATATTGTGTATAATCCTTATTCAATTTTCGCGGTGCAATTAATTTGTTTATTTTTTTTCTGTAACGAATTTGATTTAATCGCATTCGGAGATTCAATTAAGTTACTAATGATATACATCCCTTTCATGAATGTATCAAATTAATTTTCAATATCACCGTTCGATCCTCGTGTGTAATATTTCGAATATTCTATTTATTTCAATAGCATTCGAAATTAATTTCTAACATCGATAATAATTCCAAAATTGCGTGAAACATCCGCTGACTGATATGAATTTCATTTATTAATTTAATTTCTTAAATATATTTTTTATTATCGTTGTTTTCCTTTAAATTAAATTACTAGAATTTCCTTCCAAATTTCTTCAGAAATCCTTTGTTCTATTTAAGCCATTCAGGTCAGTTTGTAACAAATTTGACCAAGCTGGCCTTTGCGGGTCCGTTGTTGATCGAAAATTGAAGAGGCGTTTGTTGAGAGCGCAATTTACCTCGCGCGAAGATGGTCGATGTCGATCTGGCCCGCAATAACGACGCCATTGTCAATAGAAACTGGCTTTAAACTGGCAATCAGAGCGTACCTTCCTGCAAGTTAAACACGTTCGCTTCGCGTATTGCGTTAGAGCGGTTGTCAGGCAAAGAAACTCTTTGTACGTAACAGCCTCTTCAGCGATTAGAAACTGTGCCTTCTGTGTTGCGTTGCGTTTCACGAAGCTCGTTTCGAGCCTCGTGAATGGAACCGGTAAAAAATAATTTCATAAAAGTGTACATAGTAAAACGTTCGTTAAGCACTGTAAACTTAAGTTGGAGCCGTTTGGGCCCGAAGGACTCCCACCCTTCGGTTCGCGAGTCTGTCGGCTATCCTCGGGCGCGCTCGGCCGCAGTGGGCGGAGCTTGAGTACAGTGACGTCAGAAACCTTCAAGAATAATAGAAAAACTTTCTTTTCTGCCATCTCTAAGTTAGGTACAGTTTATATTAACACTTTGAAGACACTGTTACCTATTCCTGACTCTGATACTTAACTTTTTAAGTAATTATTTTTCATCTTATTTTTACTAAAATTATTAACATGTTTAATATCGTGCTGAAGACTTTAAAAATGTGTTATACATGAAATCATGTGTCCATTGTTGTTCTTATCAAAACCGTTCCATATCTGAACGAGTCGAGTTACGTTAGGAATAAACAGTCACTTCGGTTCAGCCAAATGACCGAATGAAATTGAAAGTTATTTTCCCTGGTGACGCTGGGGCCACCTGTTTCGATGCCCATGGACGCTTTTTGTTAGTGGACGTCCCTTCTTACCATGGTGTAGACCCCATCGTGGTAGCAGGCATGTGAAACCGGTTTCTCCAGTGTTCTGGGGAATTTCAGTCCAGGAACGCAGACGTAGCATCGAAACTGGTTGAATATTCTCGTTCAGTTGGGGACTTCGAGCGAATTCTTACGATTAGATTGCGGATGTGTAGGCAATTAACAGCAGAATTAATATTTCCCCCAATTTAGGTAAATTTTTTAGAAAAATGGGCTTGAAATCTTTTGTGGTGATAAATTATTATTAATAATTAATTATATTTGAGGCATAATAATAGGAGGTCATCAGTAACCACCCCAGTATTTTTAAGAATTTTAAGATAAAAGTGGACCAATTTTATAATTCATATCTGCAGGTATTTTTAAATGTAACAAATGAATAATAATACATATGTCACCTGTAATTTCTACCTAACAAAAAATTATTATTAAAAAAAAGAGACAAATTATTTAAAGCGATAGAAGAAAAACACACAGAGAGGAATAATTAAATAAACCGTCGGTTTATTCTGTGGTCGCGGCTTTCGATAATAACACTCTCGTTCCAAACCTCCTCCCTCGCCCTCCCCCCGGATTAATTTATTTCCCCCCCGGTTCCTCTTTGTTCCATTTAATCACATTGCACCATTGAAATGCGTGCTCGCAAGTAAAAACAGCATTTTCGTGCTGGCCCGTTGATAAATTGAATTTAACCGATGATCGGAGCACCAGGATCAAATATTTATTACGTGTACACCGGTCGCGTTTACTATTTTGTCTCGCGCCCCCTCTCGTTATTTAGGTTGCTCTCGTATCGATTGTTACCTATGGAATCGTTGTGCCCGGCCAGGTAACTATCAATTCCCATCGAACCAACGATATAATCCAACGGAAACGATCTACAGGCTGTTACAAAATTAATTTTATCAACTTTACTTTGGAACACAAAAAATTAATGACCTTTTAAAATAAAAAAAAAATAATTAATAATTTCGTGTGCCCCAAAGTAAAGTTGATCTTTGTTAAATTTTGAAAAGAGTCGAAGAGAGTTGGGAATATTTAAATTTGATTGAAATGAGCATGTCAGTGAAATTTATTTTAAGAATGCAACGCTGTTTGGTCCCACGAAAAATATGCCCCATTGTTCGTATGGTTGTCGCACGATGCTTACCGTTTGTCATGCAAATTTAGTGACGAAGAAAAACTTTCCGTTGAACGTCATGCCCCTTCGGCATGGCCAAAGAAACCACGTGCGA